AAAAAGTACCAATGAATAAGGAGGTGATTACATGAGAAATTTCAGCCTGATTAGAGGGCTGGAATTTTGTTGTGATTACATGACCAAAGGTAAATCTTTTCTCCTTTGCAACTGCCAGCTTCAGTGATTTTGTTACATTGAAAATACAATCACTACTCATGTCCAAGGTCCCCTTTCAGTACAGGCTGAAATTCCATTCAGATTACAGGGGCTTTTTGGAGCTTTTTCATCCTGGCGGCCCGGACTGAAACCTTCTCTTAATCGCTAATTTCATTTCAAGAGGATTTGTTTCAAAAGCTGGGCTGAAAGTGGCCATGTAATCACACCCTTAGAAATAAGGTTACATGTGCAAAAGGAGAGCAGAAGGCACCAATTATGCCAGCTAGTGCAAAGGGATCGGCATCATCAGGAGCAAGGCGGCTCGAGATTGTGCCTGTACGACGCCTTTCCACTAACTTATTAGCGCCTTTTGCACTCCTTCTGCTTGTTGACTTTCGGTCAAGACTGTAAATGACCTGGGTAAGCACAGGACTCTGCCACCGAAGTGAGCTTACACTTAAAACTTACTTTTTTGGCCTCTCCAAATCTGGTCTTTCATAGCCATTTTCGCTCTTTGACTCGCCCTCCTCACACTCTCACATCAAGTGTTCTGATGACATATTGTCTACAGTCATGAACTGCATATACCCGATCCTTTTCTTCTGCAGCTAAGGACGTAGAAAGGTTCAGAGCTTTCACTCGCTTGCTATTTTTCTGTATAAAAATAAATTAAACAAAATTGTTCACAAATACACTAAATCTGAAAGTCACAAACAGACAAGGTTTGGGTTAAAATTAGCTTATTGGTTCTACCCGGTAGAGCTCTTCAAGGTGCCGCGTCTTGTTTAAAGCATTGCTATAGTGTTTGGCAATGGAAAAACTCAAAAGAGCTTTAATTTTTAATATTATTCACCGTATTGAGACGGCTTCGGGCTCCCTGTTGCTTTAGGATATCCTGAGTTGCATTTCTTGAATTGTAGTGTTGTCGTTGCTATATTCGAAAATGGACATGCATAGAAGCTAAAAAAGAGTAATACAGTCTTGTTGAAACATTGTGAAAGGTAATTTGCTTTAAATTTTTTAACCATTCAACACTTATTGTTAGGTTTAGGTTTTTTATTTAAATTGTATTTTTACTTTTCAGAGGGCCACAAGTTTGTCAGTATTCTCAATTGCTGTTGTGTTACCCTTTTAAAATAAAGCTTCTTTATTATTTACTTATTAATTAGCAAGTGTATGCAGCTTTCGGGGTTGTAAATAAGGGCTGGGGGGGGGGGGCTTGGATTTTACCCAGCTGTTATGCATTTATCTGTGGCTGCTCTGATAGAAAAAACAATATCAACAACACCAGAAACTGCATTGTGCATCCTTACTGCATACAATTTCAATGTGAATAGCACACGCATTAAAAATAGTCTTTTGCTTTATGTACCAGAGGCAAGTCATCAGTTTTTTCGTAAACGAGTATGGTATTTTCTCTTGTTTTTAATTGGACAATAACTTTCTTGTGTGAAATAAATGTACCGTGTGGCACTTAACTCTTTCGGTTGTTTATTCATGATTCAAAAAGTTCCCTGAAAAATTTTCTCTGCAAAAGTTTACATCACAACGAAGTGTATATATATACCAAATTACTTTCTAATGATAATTACGTAATATCGTGTTAATGCCATTTCTATACTATGTCACTTTTGTCAGACTCTGAAACTGATTAACATTTTTCTATTTGCTCTGCATGTTTTTCACTTCTATTTCCATTGCATGAAGTTCAATAATTCCAGTTTAATGTGACTTCCTAAAAATCGAAAAAAATTAATTCCAAGTCAGAAAAACCAGTCTTTCAAAATGACAAAAATTACTTCCCGCAAAATACAGCAAATCACCAATCCATAAAATAAAACTAAAGCAAAAATTTAATGCCACATGGAGAAGAATACAAATCAAAACAGTTGTGAATTATTGCATACAAATATGGTGCTGTTGCTCATAAGCAAGTATGGAGACCTCCCATTTCTATTTTAAATATTAAGTTCCTATAAGATGACAGGTAATTGGGAAAGTTTGACAAGTCTTAGTGCAGGCTCTATTTCAGTGAAATGGTATTATTTTGGCTAGGCAAACAGTTCTGATCCTCACAGTATTATTTTTTCTTAATTAACACAAAATCATATTGACAAATTTGCATTTCGAAAATAAATTGGAATTTGTATCTGCCTGTTAATGTTGTAAGGGACAGACCATTTTATTCTTCAGAAAGGGGTTGGACAATAAAATTTTATTATCAAAAATTTAATACCCAGGATAAAAGTGCCAAAAAATCTCGAGAAAAGCGAGTCACGCAAAAGAAACATATGGAACAAATCGAAGAAAATTCATGCGCAACTCGGTGTTGAAACAACAATGTAGAAAAATTGCGAGTCATGACTCGAAAATGGATGTGTAGATTAAACCGCAAGAAGGGAAAAACATAAATAGCCTTTAGACAAAATCTGATCGAAAAGTTCTGCTCTATTTTGTCTTGAGCCTCATTTACTTAGGGACCAGTCGATAGTTATCGCCTGGAAGGGGTGGAAAGGGGGTCAGAGTATATTTGTTGTGTCACAATAAAACTTACCTGCTCCTCCCCTAAGGCTCTGCATCATTCAAATGATTCCTCTGTTAAGATGTCAATTTTATATTGTCCCTTCGTTATACTTTATTGACGGCGACTTAACCCCCCTCCGTTTTCCCTAAAAACCAAGTGATCCCTACTCAAACTCCTTCTACCCCTTCCCCCCCCCCCTCTCGGCGATAAATAATTATAGGTCCCTTTAGTTGCCGAAGGCGCGATATTGGGAAACGAATTGTTACCTTTACAGTAAATGGTGTATGGTTGAACCCTCCACCGTCTGCTTTTAGTCTTTCGTTTACTTAGTCAAAACATAATTTTGCAATAGAAATAAACGAGAAATGTTTTGCTCTTTCTCCTAAAACGAGTTAGTTCTAGGATTGCCGGGAAATTAAGTTGATTCGGAAATGATCTTTTTCTATTAACCACTCTGCTTAAACTTATCATCATTATTAGTTCTGGATCAAGAGGTTTCTGAGAAATTGATCACGATTTGCATCCAAAGCTCAGTTTAATACTGGCAACACATTACGTCGAGGTCAAGGATTATGAATGATGCTTAACAGAAAGTTAAAATAAAAATAGAAATGACTATATATATAATCATATGATCATATGTTGACAGACCAGCAGGTAAAGAGACTTATCAGAAACGCGATGTTTCTTAGAAAAGATTATTCGGGGAATACGTCCCACCCACTCAGAGATTATGACGTCAAAAGGTTGCCTTGACTCCTGTGAAAAAATAATTACCTGATTGGTTGATCTGATTAGCGCAAGCCTGGCTATGACTCAGAACGAGAATATTGCGACTAACTAAAAATTTCCATGCTATAAAATCACCGACTGCATTTTTAAAGTAGTCTTTCTGGTTTATTTGACACAATCACCGGCAAAGGTGTCTATATTTAAGGAAAAGAAGCATCCGTAAGGAAATCAACTTGACTGACTGAAGATGGCCGAGTTTGACTTGATTCCTGAAAAGGAAAGATGCGACACACTCAGGGTAGTGTTCGACTACTACACTCCCAGGCCTCATTTCATCATTTTGCCCCGCAATACGGCCATAGAAACCTACCACGAGTTAGACCAAGGGGACAGGACGAAAGTAGTTAAAGCAGCATTGTCAATGATCTCCGAATATAAGCTTCAAGAGTCAGCTGTTTTGTCCCTCCACTTTGGGTCCTGGCTGACAACAAAGAACAAGTTCCATGCACACATTTGTGTAAACGTAGAAGATTATCTCAATATTTTTGATACGAACAAGGAAAGAATTCCCGGCTGGCCCTCATCCCAGTACGTCACGAAGCAATGGAGAGCAAGCAAAAATCCGAATGATTATGCCATTAACGTTCGTGGATATCCCTTCAGATCATATTTTAGGGAAGAGGTCGAAGCCATCCGAAGGTATCGTAGAAGTTCAACTGGTGTATCCAATATCTCATGTCCTCCAGCACCGTTTACCTTATTCTTCCACCCGTCGGAACCGAGGGTCGGATTTGCTGTCGAGAAGTCAAAGAAACCAAGCAATTGTGAGTCTTTGTTTGAAGGCCTAAAGGCCATGATTGACTGTGCGGAAAAGAACAATCTTACCGACATTAATGCGAAACTTGAAGACGATGGATGCCACGTGTGTTTGGTCCTTGATGGAAAGTCGCATGGTAAGTCCATTCTTGTCAACCTGCCTTAAAAATTTTTCAAGAATTCAGATCAAAAAAGCACCTAAGTTCACTTTCAATTGCATAATGTGTTGGCAAGGAAGCTTGTATGCTTCTGGTTAAAGGAAAGCTTTCTTGACGCCTTACAGACAAAAGCTTCTTGACACCGAGTATAACTACATCACACAGAATATCTAGATGATTACTCAAGCAAAAAGGATTTATCAGTTGGCCAGAGTGAAGATTGCTTCACCAGATCTCGCGAAATGAAAGATTATAAGGTGTTTAACTGCGTGTCTTCTTCACTATATTAGTTAAGTTTCATCTTACGTCCCATTTTGCGAAGACTTCCTGTATTGTTCTTCGTAGCTGTTTGAGGTTGAAAAGATTCACTCTTCTGATTGGTAGGGAAATAAAAGTATTCTCTAACGAAATGCAAGCCAACTGCAATCCTTGTTCCTGTAGTGAAGGAGCAGTAGCTGCAAAAGATGCATGCAGTCATGCATTCCGAAATATATTTACTTGCTGCTTTATCCCTCATTGCAGGTTTCCATTTGGAGGAGTCTCAGTGTCTGGTTGGCTTCGTTCAAGTGACTGGACTGAAATTTTACAGAGATTTGTGTCCTCCTGACCAGAGAAATGAGTGGTTTGGCAAATTAAGCGCAATGACAGATTATAAAGTGTTAACCTGAATTTCTTCGACACCACTAATTTAGTTTCATCTTTCTTTCCTCTATGCGAGGACAGCTTAAAGGGCATGTAAACCCAAAAATCGTACATTTTCTTTTCACATAGCTGTTTAGGAAATATATCAAGTAAAGTTGCGATTCGTTTTTTCTTAATAGTCCTTTTTTCACGTTGTAAAAGCTCTTCCAAATTCGAAACATTCGCCATCTTGAATTGCGGCATCTTTCCTTTGACGTCAAGTGCAACTTTCCAGTAGTGGAGGTCAAAAGCAGATAAGATATCTTTACGTCTCCTTCGACCGAGGAGAAGTAGAGCTCTCCCAAAGTTAAGGGAAAGAAAGGGAGACAAATAAGAAATTCCTAAAAACCTCTCAAACTGTCAACCTTTTGACAGCCAAGTCAGCTCGCCATTAAAGGGTCTCAAATTCATCCAAAACGCCCGTGACAAACGGATGTAAAACCAGACCAACTCTTGCTAGATTTATACACAAGATGAGTGCCTCCAAAACACCTTTCATGACGGACAAAACAAAGAACCACATCCGTCTCATATCAAACTGGATGCCACCAGTTTAGCCTTCTATTGCCCTTTAAAGCTACTTGGAAAATTTCATAACACAACTTGCTGAGATTACTCATATAGCTCATAAAAGAGTTTGTAATAACGATAAGTCCCTTAGTTGCCAAAAGCCCGATATCATGAAACGAATTGTTACCTGTACAGCAAATGGCAAATGGTTGAACCTTCCACCATCTGCTTTTAGTCTTTCGTTTACTCAGTCAAAACATTTGCAAGAGCAGTAAACGAGAAATGTTTCGCTCTCTCTCTCTCCACAACCGAGTTGGTTTTAGGATTGTGGGAAATTAAGTTAAATCGGAAATGATCTTTTTCTGTTAACCACTCTGCTTAAACTTACCATCATTGTTAGTTCCAGATCAAGAGGTCTCTGAAAAATTGATCACGATTCGCATATAAAGCTCAGTTTAATACTGGAAACACATTACGTCGAGTTCACGACTATGATTGATACTTAACAAAAAGTAAAAATCAAAATAGAAATTAAAAAAATTACATAGATAATATAAAATCTTTTCACAGACCAACCGGCAGATTAAGAGACTTATCAGCTACGCGTTAATTCTTAAAAGGACCCCCCCCCTCCGAAGGGGAAAACGTTCCACCCACTTAGAGATGACGTCAAAAGGTTGCCTTGACTCCTGAGCAAAGATAATTGCCTGATTGGTTGATTTCATCAGTGTAAGCTTGGCTATGACCCAGAACGAGAATATTGAGACTAACTCAATATCTCCATGCTATAAAATCATCAAGTGCCTTTTCAAAGAAGTCCTTCTGGTTTATTTGACGCAATTTCCGGCAAAAGTGTCTATAGTTAGGGAAAAGAAGCATCCCGTAAGGAGATCAACTTGACTGACTGAAGATGGCCGAGAAGTTTGATTTGATTCCTGCCAACGAAAGATGCGATACACTCAGGGTAGTGTTCGACTTCTACACTCCCAGGCCTCATTTCATCATTTTGCCCCGCAATACGGCCATAAAAAAATACCACGACTTTGACCAAGGGGCCAAGCTGAAAGTAGTTAAAGCAGCATTGTCGATGGTCTCCGAATATAAGCTTCAAGAGTTAGCTGTTTTGTCCCTCCACTTTGGGAAGTGGTATAATCCAAGGAAGCATTTCCATGCACATCTTTGTGTAGACGTAGAAACTTATCTCGATATTTTTGAAAGAACTAAGAGAAGAGTTCGCGACTGGCCCTTGGATAAGTACGTCTCGAAGGAATGGAAGGAAAGCAGGGATCCGAATGATTATGCGATTAACGTTCGTGCATATCCCTTCAAATCATATTTTCAGAGCGGAGTCGGAGAAATCCGAAAGTATCGTACAAGTTCAACTGGTAGATCCAATGTCTCACGTCCTCCTTCGCCGTCCAACTTTTTCTTTCACCCAGAAGAACCAAGGGTCGGATTAGCAGTCGAGAAGTCAAAGAAACCAAGAAATTGTGAGTCTCTATTTAAAGCTCTAGAAGAGATGATTAACTATGCGGGAGAGAACAACCTTACCAAAACTGGTGCAAAACTTGATGAAGAGGGATGCCACGTATGTTTGGTCCTTGATGGAAAGTCGCATGGTAAGTCCATTCTTGTCAACCTGCCTTAACCTGCCTTAAACATTTTGAAGAATTCAGACAAAAGCCCCCATAGTTTCTATTCAGTTGCATAATATGTTAGACAAGAAGTCTATAGGCTTCTGATTAAAGGAAAGCTTTCTTGGCGCCGAACAAACGAAAGTTTCACACAGTGTATTTAGTTAATTAGTCAAGCAAGAAGAATTAGCGAGTGGCCAGACTGAAGATTGTTTCATCAAATTTAGCGAAATGGAAGATTATAAAGTCTTTCACTGAATATCTTCGATACCTTACTAGTTTAGTTTCATCTCTCGTCCAATTGTGCGAAGACTGTATTGTTATTCATAACAGTTTGAGGTAATATGGATTTTTTTTCGGATAGATTTACTCTAACCATTGGTGAGGAAATAAAATTATGGAACTAACTCGCTAAGAAGCGCTAAATCAGGCCGCATAAAATATATTCTTTCCCTTGAGTTAAACGATAACAAGAAAACTCCTGGTTTTGTTTTTTAGGCCAATAGACCTAAAAAATGGTTAGCAAAGAGATATCTGAAATGTAACACTAACGAAATGCAAGCCATCTGCAATCCTTGTCCCAGTAGTGAAGGAGCAGTAGCCACAAAAGATGTATACAGTCATGTATTCCGAAATATATTTACTTCCTGCTTTATCCTTCATTGTAGGCTTCCATTTGGAGGATTCTCAGTGTCTTGTTGGCTTCATTCAAGTATCTGGGCTGAAGTTCTACAGAGATTTGTGTCCACCTGACCAGCAGGATGAGTGGTTCGATAACTTTAGCGCAATGCCAGACTATAGAGTGTCTACTTGAATTTCTTCTTAACTACTAATTTAGTTTGATCTTTTGTTTCTTTTTGCGAAGACAGCTTAAATTGTTCTGCAAAGTTATCAATCCGGGATATCCCAATATATAAGGATGGCCGTGACTCGCATTTCGACCAATGAAAATTCGTGTTGTGATTCCAGTGTCACATTTCAAAACAAAGCAATATTTCCAAGATGGCGGACGAAGGCAGATTCGGTGAATAGTGATCTTCTGATCTGTTCATTATTTTTATTCGAACGGAAAGGTATGAGACTGTGACAATATAGATTTTGTATTGAATAAAGAAAGATTACAAAGGCGACTCTGTCTTTAGATTCCTTGAAAGGGTCTCCCGGTTAGCTCAATCGATAGAGCGCTGGACTGATGTGGTCGAGGGTTCGAGCCCCGGCCGGACCAACACTCAAGGTCTTAAAATAATTGAGAAGAATATGCTGCATTTCTATAACATCAAGAAATGATTTAGATATTCTAGTCTTCTCGGATAGGGACGAATAAATAGAGGTCCCGTCTCCTGCAAGGTTAGGGGTAGGAGACGTTAATTTCCCACACACGAGATTACTGTGTGATGGATGTCCTCCCCTGGGGTGGGATGAGTGGGTTCTTGTCTTCCGTTTCATAAGCCTCTGGCTCGAGCAATATGGGCAACCATGCCCCACGCAAAAGACATTAAACTTGAAAAGAGTTTGAAGAAGACTAGCAGTTAGTTTGATCAAATTATAAGCGCCAGCCAGCGCGATTTGTAGTACAGCTTAATGGAGACTGCTTTGAAGAACTCTGGCATTGGTAAGAAGTTTCTTTTTTCCGTTTTTGCTCCTTAATTTGTGGAATTAGATACTCTTATATATTGGACTGATTCAACCTAATCTTAATGAAGGTCGCGTTTGATCGATCGATCGAGGATCGCAAGTTGTGATACTAGCCAATTTCAACTTTTAGAAAGCAGGAAAAGTTAAAAATTAAACTCACTCTCTTGTTATTATCACAAATATTCAAGTAAGAGAGACTTAGAGAGACTTATTTTGCAACATACAAATACGTATGAAACCATCAATAAATCAGTGAATTTTTGTAACCCCACAACGTAGGGGTTAAAAATGTTTAAAAAAATTGTTCAATGCTCATTGCAGTAAATGCGCTGAGCTACATCTATCTAGTCCTCATGCATGCCACTCTAACTGAAACAAACATAATATTTCAAATAAACATAATAGCACATTGAACAGGACTGGTATGTGAAAAATAATAGTAACCAAGGAATTATGATTCATTTTTTAGGGCAGGGGACAAACTAGTTTTCTATAAGAAGGCAATTAGATGATTAAAAAATTCACAGTCTGCTGAATACTTGTTTTTTTTTAAGCCTTCTTCAGTTGTCAAGTTTTTTTTTCTCACTATGCATGTGCATTATTGTTTGTATTGTTCTAGTGCTTTGTGCTGCCCTCAATAGCTCTTATCGGAGATGTACACGCCATTCCGGTAATCCAGCGGTATCTCGATGAGAGTAGGATTAAAACGAGGCTATGGGGTCGCGCTTTCCTAACTTTTGAAAGCATTACAAGAGAGACAGCTATGAACTTTGAAAATAAGGCAAAAAAAACTGCCCGATTCCGCGTTTTTTTCAGCGGAAGAGAAAGTTCAATTACTCAGTGGTAAACGTCCTCGACTTTTAACAAAAAAGGGGCTCAAAGAACGGCTTTCTTATCGTAAGGGAACGAGCAAAGATGGAAGTGTAAGAGCCGACGCTACGAAGGCCGAGCTCGCTCAAAGGTACATCACAAATTTATAGTCTTTAATAATCATCTATTCTTCATCTTTCTATGATTTAAGAGCCAAACATTTCTAATATTTTTGTCGTTCCTATACAGAGTTGTCAGCTACATCATAAAACGGCTGGGAAGACGATTTCGTAGACGCGTGGCAAGACATGTCGTCGAGCCAACCGCAGCAAGACATAACTACTCCGTATACTCCATGACTTTCCTGGTTCAGCAGAATGGCTCCCTTTACCCGATGCCAAAGACAGCGTGCCTGCTTTTAATATGCAGAATATGATATCGTACTTCATTGAAAGAAAAACCAAAGACAACGAGGCCAACAAAGATTATAAGAACATTAGCAACAAAGCGTTTGGCCTGTTTCGGCATGGGCACATCCAAAGAATTGAACTTGCCTGTGATAGCGACAAAGTACACTTCAGATGCGAGTGCTTACCAGAAATGAAAAAAACTTTAACATATAAGTTAAGACTGTCATTGGTTAAAACAGTGATAGAGAAGGAGAAATAGTTTATGCCAGCTGTCATTGCCCTGCTTGGAAAGGCCCGCATAGATCCTGCAAACACATAGCAGGTGTTTCCTATGCCCTAGAAGAGTTCAGTCGGTTAAAGTGCACAAGAGAATTTGACACATGCACTTCAAGACTTCAAACTTGGAACCAGCCAAGAAAAAGAAAACTTGATCCACAGTCAGTTTATGACTTCTCCAAGAAGATTTATAGACGAGAGGAAAGAAATGTAAGTAAGCCTTTGACATATCCCCGGCGCTAATGTGATAGAAACGATGACCCCCAGAGCGTCAACAAAGAGCTGCTTGAGAAAATCAAGACAGTGAAACCAAACTATGGATTCTTTTGCCTCCTTTCTGATGAGAAATTACCCCAGAAAGATATTAATTCCCCCATTAAAGAGCAACCAGTATCTTTGAAAGAAATCTTTGACCGAGCAGCAAGAGTCAGAAATAACCTTATGGTCATTGAGCAAGAGAGAAAGAAGATTGCTAAGTCAACTAAAACTCAAAGTAATTGTCAAGAATGGTATGCTCATAGAAATGTTTGCATTACAGCCTCAAAGTGTAAACGAGCAATCCTTCAGCCTGCTACTAGCCCCACCAAAGCAATAGAAGAAATTCTGGGCTACAAGAACCAGTACCAGAGTGCAATGATGAAACAACGTCTAAAAGGTGAAAAAAGGATTTTGAGTCTCTATGAAAAGCAACTGGATTGTAAAGTAGATGACACAGGCTTCCTTATTTCCCGGAGTCACCCATTTCTTGGAGCTTCTCCAGATGGGGAGGTAGATGGAGGGCTAGTGGAGATCACAAGAATATTTCCAAATGGTTGAACTCTCAGTGAAGCTGTATGCAAGCGTTACATTTGCAAGGGAACCAGTCATGGACTTGCTGTGAATAAGAACCACAAGTTTTATTATCAGGTCCAACTGCAGATGTTTTGTGCTGAATGCAACTGGACTGACCTAGTATTATCTGAAATGAATGATCTGATAATTATACACATCAAGAAATGCAATGGCTTCCTCTCTAGCATCATCCAAAAGCTGGAAGCCTTTAATAATAAGCATATATCTTTTGAACTGGCATATCCAAGAGTAGCTTGTGGCCTCCCAAGATTAAGCAAATTGATCAACATAAGGCAACACTAAAAACCTAGTATCAAGTGCATAGTTGTAGTAACATGAAGTCCTGTAAGGCCGCTGACCGGTAAGCGGCAGAGAAAACACAAGAGGATTTATTAAAGGCTTGTGTTTTCACCAATCTGTGTAGTATTTGAGAATTCGTGTACCGAATATAACATGGTGTCAGGACCGGGATACGAATACTAGCCGAAACCATTTTACAAGCGGATCAGCTGGAAAAAGCAGAGAAAAAAAAAGACGAATCAACTTCTTGTGCCTCGCACGTGGTCTCAAACAAGATGGCGGAAGGAATCCCTGGAGATTTCAACGGGAAATCCGGCCTTATCGTGGGGAAAATAGAAACAGTTATTCGAAATCTACCTCAAGGTAACCGGAGCGTCGAAGAAACCGGACGAAATGAAGGTAGGACTGCTATTGAATCACATCGATGAATCTTGCCTGGAAATCTACTCAAATTTTATTTACTTACCCGAGCGTGACGATCCCGCGGGAGGAGAAGACAAACTCCCGGCCGAAAATCCTGACGATTATGCGACCGTCTTAGCAAAGTTCGACGAATACTTTCACAAACGAGACACGCAACTCATGCTCCGAGAGAAATTTTGGCTCCACCTCACCCGAGATTCGACACAAACCTTTGATTCTTGGGTTGTCACTGTCAAAGAAAGAGCCGCTGAGTGCAAGTTTCCCGCCAATTTCTATGAGCAAGCGGTAAGGGACAAACTTACCTTTTCCTGCAAGGAAGACAGCTACAAGCTCAAATTTTACGACGAGGGAGCAGCCCCTTCACTGGACAGGACTATTTAAATACTATCACAGAAGGAAGCTACGAGACATGAGTTGCAAGAGTCAAAAACCGCCGTGATCGAGAGTATCACATAAACCCGACTGGTCAGATTTTCACTATTGCTTAAATAGTGCTTTACTGCGAAGGATCGTGCACATATACGTTTCATAACCGCAGTTCATATATATGTATTTCATATATATTTGTTGTTTGATTTATCATCTACGGGTTTATGTCGAATTAATTTGATGGCCTGCTCCCAGTTGGCTTGTTAGCTCAATTGGTAGAGCGCTGCACTAGTATCGCAGAGGTCAGTGGTTCGAATCCCGTACAGGCCTGAATTTTTTTCAGGTCAGATTTTCACTATTGCTTAAATAGTGCTTTACTGCGAAGGATCGTGCACATATACGTAATTCGCTAAGTGTTAAAACGGGCCGGATGAAATGTATTTTTTTCCCTTCAGTCAGACAATGACAATGAAACTCCTGGTTAGTAGACTTAAGAAATGGTTAGCTAAGGGATTTCTGGAGTATGACACTGACGAAATGCAAGTCAACTACAATCCTTGTCCGTTTAGAGAAGGAGCAGTAGCCGCAAAAGATGCATGAAGTCATGCATTCGAAATATATTTACTTGCTCCTTTATCCCAGGTCATAAAGTGTTTAACTGAATTTCTTCTTAACTACCAATTTAGTTTGATCTTTTGTTTCTTTTTGCGAAAACAGCTTAAGTTGTTCTTCAAGGTTACATGAGGTGATAAGGATTTCGTTTTACAGATTGACTAAGAAATCTCAAAGTTTTTTCAATCACCCTGCATTTATTTGACTTAGTTCAGTGGTATTTAAACAACAGTTTCCTGATTTCTAGCACTGAAGATTCAGAATTCCAATACTAACCAAACACCGAGAAAATAAGATTGAAAAAGGAAAAGGATTCAGTTTTTTTTTTCCGGAGTTCTGTTCCGTCAGAACAAAGAGGGAATCGCGAGAGCCTGGGATCAATGCTTCTTTCTCGTCACCAAAGCCTCTTTTATGGATCTGGCAGCTAGAGGGATCAGAGACCCTGGGAACTAGAATAATGTTTACGTCATCGCAACTAATTAGCACAAACTGGCACCTTGTTATGAGGTTGTTATTCTGTGAAATGACAACATTTATTTTAGGAGATTTTAGTCGGCTTCAAAAAATGATGCTGACCTGAAAATTAAAATCTACATTTGGCGGATGCGTTTGACATTGAATCAATGATGATGCCTGAATGTATCTAATTTAGCTCACATTACACGGTTTTTAGCTTTTTAATATTCTGTAACCGCGGAATTCAATAAAAACAATACCTTTTAATTGCTAAGTAAGCTAGTGTTTGTAACTTATATTGAAGGTGTGTAAACGTAATGCACATATTCGCTTTTTCGAACGGTATAATGCATGACTAACTCTGTGTTATGAAGTGAGGTTGCATTTTCATTAAAGTCGCAATTTTAAAATAACCGGAGCGGTAAAAAAAAACTGTTCGTCTTTTGAAGAGTTGATCTTAAAACAGATCTCCTGTGTATTCAAATTGCATTTAAAATCTCTGATCCTGTCAGTCATCTTCCACACAAATGATGACATAAGTCATGTCGCACTTTTTGGCTGAGATGTTTTAGTGGTTCTTTCGACATTTGTCCTCGGTGGCAACGACCACTGAAAGCATGGTAGCGTTTGACATTTGAAATCTTTGATTCATTGACGAGTTACACCACATTGTAGCTTGTTTTGGGTCTATGAGTCTTTCGTGTTCAGCAATGGAGTTTCAGCAGCGTGGAACCGAAATGTCGTCCCCAAATGAACCTTATAAGAACCTGTCTTTTACCACGCTTTCGAGTCTGGAATTTGAAGCGTTGAACAGTCTGGATGAAAGCATACGGTATCACGAGACGAACGTTGTAGATGAGAACGTTCAGTCTTGCAAGGAGCTGAAGAGAAATGACGAGAAATTAGGGAACAACGATGTAATGTTGCAGGAACCTTCAAACCAAGCTACTGCAATAAGGCTACCAGGAAAATTAAACGCTGGATTTATCCTGTTCGATGGAGCTGAAATAAAATATATTTCAAATGACAGTACAGATACAGAAACACTATCAAAACCGCCGGAACAGCTTAACACGGACGGAAGTTTTCGAAGCAAGAGCCCCGAGTGTTCTTCAAACATTTCCGATGAACCTGCATATTTGAATTTAAGCTCTGCTGACTTAGTGATTCGAGAATCATTCAAAGGCACGAATTCGCGAATTTCGCTGACACCCTACAAAAGACTACCAACCTATGTTCATTTTTCAACTCCGCAAAAATTTTACTTTCTCTCCATTGGTGCAGCGACCGTGTTAGCAGTGAACGCTTTTTACATGAATATTGCGTTTTTGCTTCCACTCCTCGGAAAGCAAGTTTTGTCGGAAATAGGTAAGTTGTTAAAAAAATTCAGGAAAAAGTTTTATCACGCGTTGGAGGTTCCTCGTTCTTTAACGTTTGATTTGTTTGATTTTTTATTGGTAAAAAGACGAGCAAACAGCAGGAGATCTGCCCGGTTGCGCTGGTGCGAATTTACAAAAGACGCGCAAAGTTTTACCACATTAGAAAAATTTGTCTCCAGACTCATTCACCTTTTAAAATAAACTGTACAAGTCCGGTCGGTTTTACTTACATGAAAATTGACTCAAATGGGCCACACCAAAGTCTTTGTATTGTTATAAATAAGCCACAAAGGTTTTGTTTTAGTGACAATGGCAGTTTCAGATGTGCGAGGAAATTCACATCTGCAAGCCCTAGAAGCTTCAAAACACACTGACGTGATCAAATAATTATCATGTAGATGCCATCTCTACTACATTTGCTTAATGCCTGTCGAAGGGTTTCTCGTTAAGTAATTTTAAGTAAACTTTGAACACTATTCACGCTTTAAAGCTTTTGTTTAGCAAACCTTTTTCTGAAACGTATAACTCAAGCTGAGACAAAATATCAGTAATGTTTATGTGATAAGTTTGATAGACAGGTCTGACGTTTTTGCATTTCACTTTTAAAACATGTGTGAGTTATTAGTCGGTAGTCTCGGTTCTTCAAAGCAAAATTAGCATATAAAGATCCATGTTATTGTCTCCCTTTTATTGGCAGTTTAAAGCAAACAAAAAGTAGAAAATGAAAGAAGAGTTGAAGCTGAACTTCACATAGTTTTTAAAAATAATGACAATAAAATATACTCAAGTAGCGAAGAATGTTATCATATTGTCGAGGAAGAGACAATATTTTTTCAAACAAACATACCATGATCTATATTAACATAAAAATATGGATTCTTAAATCGAAAAATAGTCATGAATAATACCTAGGAAGTTACAAACAGTTTCATCGGTTTTAGATTTCTTCTGAGAGAAGACGACAGAAAATCAACGGAAAAAAGAAAGAGAGAGAAAAAAAATTAAAACAAAAAACAAAACATAAACATCATTGAAGCGCGTGACGGGCGATTTTAAAATCAATTGCTCGGTGAGAAAAAAGGCCACAAACCACAAGTACCCCTACAATATACAATAATAATAATAATTTATTGATTTATAGATATAAAGGCTGATAGTTTCAAAAGAAACTGTTTGGGGCAGCGTCGGTGGGAATAACGAAATAATTTGGATCTATCAACAAAGTTGAATGATAAATTGGCCACCGAAACGTCAGCTTTTGTAATCGTTACGGTGGCCAATTTACCATTTCAACTTTGTTGATATATCCAAATTATATTGATTTATAGTGCGCCTTTTAACATACCAGGTGATCAAAAGCGCATTACAACAATAATTAACCTAAAACTGTACAAGTATTAAAAATCTACAATATAAACATTGCATCATTTATTTATGTATACGCATCTAAGAAATATTAAAAGCTAATTTAAAAAGATAAGTTTTAAGATTTGACTTAAAAGTAGAAATACATGTAACCATGCGGAGGCTTACGGGAAGAGCATTCTATAAAGTGGGCGCAGCCACGCTGAAGGATCTGTCACCAAATGATTTTTTCATTTTCCCCGACAGATGTTTTAATAAAACACCTTCATTACAACGCAGCGAATAGCGCGTGATAGTCCTAATGTTAATTAAATCAATGATGTAGCTAGGTGCCATGCCATTGATGGCTTTCAAAGTAAGCAATAAAATTTTAAAATTAATTCTATATCTTACTGGTAACCAGTGTAAATTTATCAAACCTGGCATGATGTGGTCATTCTTTTTACATGACACAAGTAGCCTGGCTGCAGCGTTTTGCATTCAACCATGAGTTATGTGAGCAATTTCCTCTTTCGTATTTTTATGGCGTAATCAATAACGTAAACATTAAGGAAGTTTTCACTGTAGTGAGTAACCTGTTTTGCTTTTTACTTCAATAGGAATTTGTCATCACGTTCTGTTCCTAGCGTCCATTTTGTTTACATTGTGCGGCAAGAAACACTGGGTACCATTCCTCCCAACTGTTCCCATTTGCCTCGTTTTGATGGCTGTGTCTGTGGCCGTTCTCCCGTCCCTTGAGGCAGCTGGCATTTCGCTGTCGATCTTTGCCATATATGGTGTAATTACAGTCAATGGTCTTTGCGCAGGTCTCAGCCAATCATTAGTCAATCGTATGATTGTGCTATTTCCTGGCGGGAAAAGCAGCTTGCTGGTACTACATGGTGAAGGTATGTGACAAATATCAAATGGGAGAATGTCTTAGACGACAGTGTAGAGGTGGAAGTTTTGAACGGTCTGTCAGATCTTCCTGTCCTCGATATGATTCATTCGTTCGGAGCAAGAAGAAAAAAAAAACTGGCACTAGCTGAACTCAATGACCCTTCAGTAAGGTTGGTTGGATTTCTTTACAGCCGTGTACAATACGCACAAAGCTCGCGAGGCAGCCATATAATCCGACACGCATACTCGTGAGGAGTAAACTTTTGCTGTCCGTTTACACTAGCAAAATTCTCTTCGCTGGACCAGACCTAGCGAGTTGGCAAGCGCTCGAATTTTAAGCATTTGTTATGAATTTTCTTAACCAGCTTAAAGGGATTGAGGCTTTGAATTCGGTTGTCGCTTCTCAATGTGGTTGGCAAACCATTTAAACCACGATGCCAACATTTTCGTATATGAGAATGTCTATAATGGAACTAAATAATTTGGATATATCAACAAAGTTGAAGTGGTAAATTGGCCACCGTAACGATTACAAAAGCTGACGTTTCGAGCGTTAGCCCTTCGTCGGAGCGAATAGAGGAATTGTGGGTTGTGTGTGCTTTTAAAGGCAGAGAATGGAGCTACGTTATTGGTGGGAACATGGCAACGAGAAAAACAAGAATAAATTAGTGGAATGAAAAGCGTTCGTTGATCCCTGTGGGATTTAGACTGCCGGTTTGAAAGATGAGCTTTTGTTCAAGATTTTTACGGCTTTCCGTGCTACCTAAGTGTAAGGAAAGACCGCAGATTGCCATATGTTGCTTAGAATGATTAGGTAAATTAAAATGTCTAGCGACTGGTTTCGATGTGTCCTTGTCATTCCTTTCCACGTCTCGAAGGTGTTCTCGGAATCGGTCACCTAGTCTTCTGCCCGTTTCGCCGATGTATATCTTTTTGCAATAAGTGCAAGTTATGCAATAGATTACATTAGCGGAGGTGCACGTGAAGTGATCGGTGATCTTAATGGATCGTTTAGGTCCCGATATTTTATCAGTGTTGTGAATGAAAGGACACGTTTTGCATCGCGCACGAGCGCATTTAAAAGTGCCTGGTTGCTCATTAGTCTGAAAAGAACTTCTGACCAAAAAATTGCCTAAGTTTTTGTCGCGTTTGAATGAAATGAGCGGAGGCTGCGAAAAGATAGTGCTTGTCTCTGGATCGTTTTGAAGTAATTTAAAGTTTTTAAGAATGATGGATTTAACTGAGTGGTTGTGAGGGTGAAACGTGAGAGTGAATGGAATGCGGTCGGAATCTT